CCCCCCCCCCCTTACAAAAAAATTTCCATCATCTATCCAATCACCTTGCAGCAGCACATTATCCCTAGCAAGGTGAGCTAACATATCATCACTAGAAATTGTGGAAATAGGAACATCAATCGGAGGCAACTCAACTTCATCGCTACCCACATAATCCACCAAACTATGAATAGGTGACCCCCCCCCCCTTACAAAAAAATTTCCATCATCTATCCAATCACCTTGCAGCAGCACATTATCCCTAGCAAGGTGAGCTAACATATCATCACTAGAAATTGTGGAAATAGGAACATCAATCGGAGGCAACTCAACTTCATCGCTACCCACATAATCCACCAAACTATGAATAGGTGAATTAAACATCCCAAAAGTCACAAAATTTAAATTACCCTGCACCACCGAAGTTCCAACACCCCCAGCAACTAAAGGAACTGAGTTATCACCCAACTCGTCCACAACATCAGCATAAGTAGGACTAGCTATAAGGTTAATGCAATAGTTATTGATATTCATGTTAACATTTACACCATCAACACCACCTATATTAGCACAATCGATATTCACATGCACAACATTAGCTAAAGGCGCAATTACCTCCTCAACATAAACATGATCATTCAAGGGTGAGACATGAGCTACAGGATTAGCAGCTTCCACCGAGAGACCAACATCTTGCTCAATATCAGCATAAGTAGTACCCAAAGCCTGAACCAAATCATTGGCACCACAAGAAACAACATTACCCAACCTAACCCCCTCATAACTAGCATCAACATTAACATTAAGCAGTTTAGAGGCATTAGGGCAAATAGTAGGCGGGATAGAAAGAGGCCAATAATTACCACTCAAATTCCTTATGCATTTACAAGAAGCACAAAATGAGGGGAAAGCCTCCATAACAACTTGTTGAATATAACCAAATTTCTTAGGTCATAATCACACTTTATCAGGATAAATTTTTGTGATGTCAAGCTCAATCAGAACGCAAGCAACGGAAGGACGAGAACCAACTTAAGTAGTGTTATCAACCTTCAACAATCTACCAAACATCAAGCCTAAACCATGAAGGATACGAAAGGAGAACATATGAGAGTGGAGCATAAGGAAAGAGACTCAAATAAGGACAACATGAGATTCATCACCAACATCAATAAGAGGAGACCATTTGGTCAATTTCATAAAGCAATTGTTAACTAAATAAGATCTATGACAGAAAATCATACTATAATCAAGAACATTAATCATTTAAATCAAAAT